ACCCCACTCAGACTGTGCACAGGAATAGATTCCTCCCACCCACTCAACTATCTCCATTTCTGCATCTGCAAATATTTACCTTGACTGCAGCTAAAAACCTGTCCAAAAGGCTGATGGCCAGGGCGAGCGTTTCTGGATAAAGGTGGAACTGGTATTTGAGCTTGGCCAGCCACTGAATGACCTCATCCCTCTGCTTTGGAGAAATGGCTACATCCTGTTGGAGAGAAAAACAAACTATTCTTACACATGGGCTGAGTGAGTCCAATTTTACCTCCACAGGAGTTACTGGGCATGGAAACAAAGCCTCCTTTGGAAAAAGGGGGGGGCCTCAATCCAGCCTGAACCACCACTTTACTTACCCCATCCCAAGAAATGGGATTCCCTGCCCTGGAAAAGACATCTTTCTTTACAGAAACCTCAAACATCACTCAGGAATGACACTGTCAGCTGGGGAAAAGAGGAAGGATGTCTTGCAGTTCCTCAAGTACTGAGGGTATCTTCTCCAGTTTAGCTCTAAAGGAGGTGTTACTTTTTTTAACCACCCTAGAACCACGTAGAGACACAAGAATGCCCAGTCTGAACAAAGGCAGGCAACTCTGGGAGCCAGGTGGGAGCACAGCTCCTGACAAACAGAAGATGGGAGGGACTGAGTGCATGTTTTGAGAGGAAAGGTTTATTTTTCCTTCAAATTGTGGGGATATTTTTAGTGTATGTACAAAAAAAAAAAAAAAAAGGCAAATTCCAAACAGCTTACAGAGCCACCTTTAGCAGTACATGTTAACTGTGAGCTGGGAAAATTTCACCTGAAGGTACCATTCACTTGTACAGCAGGTACAATTTCACCTAAAGAAGCCTGGGTTTGTTGGGGATTTTTTTAGGACTTTTTGGCCCAGGTCACCACCATTGATCTGTTTGGACAGCAAGTGAACTTCAGCCACATGTAGATCAGTTGATGACATATAATCATTCTCTCTTTCTTTAGAGACACAGCTTTTCTAGAGCCTTTCAATTCAGCCAAGGAAGGGGATTATTCAAAGGGGATTATTCTAGGTGATTAGCAAGGAAGTGTCCAGAAGTGAGAAGTGAAACCAAACTAATTTCTTCTGCTACTCTCAGGGTCCTTGTGCTCTTTTTGGCTGCTGCTGAGATGGTTTAAGAAAGAACTGGAATTAAATGCTGGCTGCCCAGTGACTGCAGAAAAGAAAGCTAAGGGCTTGTGCAGACACTCAGCATGGCTGGGCTGGGTTCTCCCAGCAATGACGTGGAATGTGGGGATGGGGGGTGGGGGTGGTGCAGCAGAATTGTAGAAAATAAAAACACCCAAAGTAGATGCAAAATAAATCCTTTGGGTTACATTTATCACCAAAGAACATCCCGTGTTCCTTACACAGACAGCAAGGAGCTTTGTTATGGGTCTGCTGACTCCTGCCTTGGGGCCACGGATTGTGTGCGAAGAGTGTTGGAAGCAGGAGTGGGGATGCCAGCAGGACACCCACTACATCATTACCTACATCTTTGTACTGAGCTTGGGGCCCAGTGGCAGTGGGAACACAGCTCGTTACTGCTGCTCACAGCCACCCCTCCTGCCCAACTGCAGCCACCCAGTTCCCTTAGAAAAAGTACATGACAGTGCTGCTGTAGCAAGGAGCTACTCTATAGACACAGGGTTGTGCAAGCCAGAGCTTCTCTTCCAGCTCTACTGGCTGGGCTACCAGAGCAGTACTACCTCTGCCTGCAAAACATGCCTTCAGTGCTCAGTCAGGTGCTGCTCTGAGGAGAACAAAGTCTTGCCTTGTTTTCTCTCCTGAAGCCACGACAGTGCATCAGGACTGTGTGTCAGCCAGCCTGGCCTCTGGTCTCACCTGGGGCCTCTGGATGCTGTACTAGAGACACACCACAACGTGGCTTTGTCAAAAGCACCTACCATTTTTTTCAGGAGAGAAGAGAAAATCCATTTCTTCAATCCCAAGAAATAATGAGGCCTTCTAAAATTGTTTCTACAATTTAAGGTTGGAATCTGAGACCCACCAGGGGCAGGACACCCACTGCCTGCAACATGTTGGTGGGAGTATATAATGAATACACCACACAGCAGTAAGGAGTTTATTAAGTGCTCAGCTACAAAAATCTTTTGGACAGTGGGATAGGGACTCTTGTGTCTCTTGTGGTTCTTGCTGGGGAGATGCCTTAGCAGCACAGGTGGGGAGATTTTTTCCCTTCCTATTCCTGGCAAAGCCTGTTCCTGCTAGATCCCAGTGGAAATGGGCAGGAGCTCCTGGCAGTGTCTGTCCTGGCTGTGCTGCCTCTTGGCCTTTGGTCCTCCCAAGATCTGCCCTTCCTTGGGCAGTGTGAGGCACCACTTCAGACCCAGGAATTAGCTTTAAATGGCAAGGCCGTTAATGTGAAGAACAGCAACTGTACCCTGGTAACAACTGCCCTTTCCACGTGAAAAAGAAATGGGTTTCAATTTAAACCACTAAAAAGCAACAGTGTAGTGAAGCAAGATCTAAAATTAAACAAACAAAACCCAGCCCCCACAGCAGAGCACCACGTTCCTTCAATGGGAAGGAACAAGTGCCAGTTAACTCCCATCTAGGTGGATGCACAGCTCCAAAATCAAACCTGGCTTTTGGAGAGCCATCTGGGGAAGCCAAGGAAAGGAGGTGAATCTCCAGCTCTCTGCTGCAATAATAACAATCCTACAGAAAATTTGCCTACTCCAGTCTCTTACCTGTGAATAAAGGAGTGCAAAGGTGGGGGGATAATTCCCCTATGCAGAAAGACCAGGGAATTTAAGCCCCCTCCCACCAGCACTAGGGAAGTTTACTTCTTTGGCCCTTTTAGGAGGCAGGAAGAAGGAATGAGAAATGGTCCCACTGCACCCACAGATCCTGCTGCCACCAGGGCGAGGAGCTGCCCTGGAAGGTGTCCCTTTGTCATCCTAATAACACAAATAAGAAATGCAGCGTTGTCTAATTAATTAAGCAGTGAGGTCACTATTCCTTAGTTAAATCAAAAGGAAAAATGAAACGCTCTCACTGTTGCTGAAAGAAAAAAAAAAAAAAAAATCCCTTTGGGCCAGAAAGCAAAGGTTCCTCCTTGGTGTGGAGGTACTTTTCCACAACCACTCCCCACGTCTGCATGTGGCTAACCCTTTTTGTCACCACAAATCCACCCTTGCAGAACTTAACCCCAGGGTGGAAGAGCAGGCTGGCCTTAATTAGGGAAAAGTAATCCAAGCCCAGCAAGGGCAGGCTCCCTGTTCACACAGCAGCAGCAGGTTGATCCCAGACAGACCCAACAACCGCCCTCAGGACAAAGGACAGTTGTTTTGAAATCATGTGGCAGGTTCTAGAAAACTGATTGTAACTTAGGTTCTGTTTCAAAAGACATGTCTACATTTGTGTCTTCTAGAATAGCAAAGACTGTTTTGTAATCAACCAGATCATATTTTTTGAAATAATTTTGTACAGAAAGAAATTATAAAAGACAGTGAAGAGAAGGAAAATGTGTCAAGGCCTTCATTTAACTTGCCAAAGGCAAGAAAAAAGGCATGTTTCTGTGTAATTCAGTGTTTCTGAAGACCAAGTCACATGTGATAAAACACATGAGGCCAAGGAGCTGTTTTTCACACACGTGACGCTGAGTCCCACCGGTTCAGAGCACAACAGTGAGTGTGAACCCACCAGTTTTGTTTCAGCACCAACACAAAAAACCACCTTGCAGGAGCTACAGAGCGAACAGCTTGTGTCTGGGACACCAATGGGGAAGTGGAGGGATGTCAACTTCCCTCTCTCCCTTGCGTAAAGCACGGGTACATCACCCTGACCTGCTTCCTGCCATTACTGGCTTGAGGCCTTTCCAAGAACCATCCTGTCACTTGCTCTGGGGTTGAACAGGCTGGCAGTGAACAGGAGCTTCTGTGGAGGGTTCCTGACAGGTATTTTAGTTACCACAACATGAAGCCATCTAACCTGCTGGGGCTGCAGGGGAGGGAAGACAAAGCACACAAACCCCAGGCCTCCACCTCTGTGCTGGTTGTATCTGCCCCATTCCCACATCAGTGCCCCAAGCCCCATTTTTCCTGGGCATTCTGTTGTGGGATCATCCTGTGGGGCCTTGGCAACAGGGACAGGCTGCTCTGCTCCAGAGCACAAGCACAGCACCCAGCACCTCCAAGAATACCTTTGAGACTGTTGGAAAACACAGTCTAAAATAAAACATTATCTGTGAAACTCAAATGTGACTCAATTTTACTGCTGCCTAATCTAGGAAACACCTGATAAAATTTTATTTTCTTGAGTGGCTGCTGTTCCAGACAGGGCTGTTTTGCTCTTTCCCCTATTTGTCTCTGCCCAGTCCTGCTGTGGGCTCCTCGCAGAGCCAGCAGGTGACCATGGGAGAACTGGGAGGCTTCTGAGAAGAGCAGCTGTACCCACCACAGCCAGATCAGTCCTTCCTTGGGGCTCAGGAGCGCTTGTTTTCATGGAATCACAGCGTTGGAAGGGACTTCTAGGGCCTAATCATCTAGTCCAACCCCCCACTAACTAAAGCAGGATGGCTCAGAGCACATCCCACAGGACTGCATCCAAGGGGTTGCAGACACGAACACTGGGAACAAGCACAAACACCAGGGAGGGAGAGAAATCAGTGCCTGGCACAGCAGAGGAGCTGGGTGCACCAACCTCCCCGTGGTGCATCAGCCTCCTTGTGGTTTACAGAAATATTCGGGCAGTCTCTGCTTCAGCCACAGGATCTAACAGGCACCAGGAAGGTTAAAAATACCAGCCCAAGGTCATGGTGCTGAGACAGTAAAGAAACTGGAAACAAACTCGAGTCTCCTGGTCCCTCACAAGGTGCAGAGGACAAACAAGAAGACAGAAAGAAAGGGGTAGGACAGGCAGGAAAGGAGAAATGAGAGAAGTGACACTTTCTATAAAAAACATAAAAACGATCTTGTCTTACGTATCTCTCTGCTGCAAAATAACATGGTAACATGCAAAAATCACCCTTTGACCAATCTTTACTGCTTGATTTCTCAAGCCTTTATCACATGAAAATGTGTTCATGTCACCTGCACGGAGTACAACTCAAGACAGGGGGGAAAAAAAAACAAACCCAAATACATTTACAAACACCAGACTCAGCTGTTTTTTTCAGGCTGAAAAGTCCCTGTGACATCTGGCTTTGGTACATTGCAAATACCTGGAGCCAGTGACCTACACTGAAAGGAGGGAAACTAAAAGAAACTACCATGCCAGCAGGAGACAGAAGTTTTCAGACAAAAAGTAAAAACGAAACAGAGAAGTGCCAAACATTATCAGGACCAAGGTCCTCAACAGATTCTGCATCTTATACTAAAAATGTCAACTCTTCCTGTTTCTGTACCTACTTTCTTCCTTTCAAAGATCTCAAATCTGGCCCATATTTAGAAACAGAATTTGTTCCATTTTTAAACATCACAACCAAAAATGTCTCCTAAAGAGGCAAAGCTGAAGGTTGACTCCTGAAAGACAGTCATGGCCTACCTCCAGTCTGACGGTTAGATATTTTTTGGTAGACACACACATTTCCTCATTTGCAAACCAGACTTCATTAAAACCCCTTCTGTAGTCAGTCCACCTTGGTGGTAAGGAATGGAAAGTTACCCACACTTCAGGTTGCCAGATCTGATACACAGAAGGATGCAGATTTCCTGACTGTCATGGGAAATAAACAACAGCGTCATGCAAGGCAGGTTTTAGGCAACTGCAGCTGTTTTCCAAAGAAGGCAGTGGATGTTAGGGAATGTGACCTCCCCCAGATATTACAGAAAAGAGGGTAATTCACACTGAACATCCGTGACTGCAACGCTGCCAAAATGAGGGCTGCAGAAGTGGAGGGGGAGGAGTGAGAGTCTGAAAAGTCGGGTGTCACCAACTGTAGGAGCAGAGAGAAATACGTGACCACAGAGCCAGGGTTTCCAGCTGCAAGTCAGGACTTCCCCTGAGCAGCTGTGTTTGTGTTCTCTGTCGAGTCTGACCTTGGGACATTTCACACATATGCCCACAGAGCAATTTAATGACTATTCACTGCTAGAAAACATTTAATACTATGGCTGGTTAAGTCAATGTCTGAACTGATGTGCAGGAAAACATAAAGAAAAAGGTTACAAAGACAACACAGTTTTAGAGGTAGAAATTCTGGGAGTAGAAAGCCAAGGGTGACAAGCACAGAGGGCCAGGAAAAACTCTGGAGCATGGATCTCAGTGCAGGGGAGGAGGGAGAAACAGATCCTGCTGGTTCCACATTCAGGGGACCGCCCAAGATCCCACTGACTTCTCTGAATGTTGATCATGGAGATCCCAGGTGCTACAAGCCCCAACAGCAGTGATGCTGAGACCCCCTCATGGTCCCTGCCAGCAGGACAACTGCTCTTCACCCCAGAAAGGGCTGAGGTCAGACCTGCTGTTGCAGTGACTACTCCAACGTGGCACAGGTGGGGAACCTCATTTCCTAAGGGTGACAGTGCAAACCTGCTGGGAGGACTGTCCAATGCAGGCAGTGGCTTCTGAGCCACCAAAGCCAATTCACCAAGGCAAAAATGCAAATACTTTCTCCCTGTGAAATCTTCACTCAAGAATCTGGTTTGTTTACATGCTCTGAGTCCCTAACGTACCTTGTTATACTGTAACTTATCTCCCTACATTATAATCACTAGCCCCAGCATTACTGCCAGCAAGGAATAACAGGTTGGTTTACCATAAACCAGGGTCTTAAATTGTACGTGCCTCAAGACAGCCACAGCTACAATTTGCTGAACACCTCTGAGAACCAGGTCACTTATTTGGAAACCAAAATGTAGATTAGCAAAACCCCGACCCCCTTAGAAACATATTTGCTCCTACACCACAGCAGCAGCTTCTTGTCAGTCAAACAGAAAAAACAACGAGCCCACTGATTAGCTTTGACAACAGCTGACATGCTGGGGTGAGCATTTTATAGGAATCAGGAACAGCAAGACTGGATCTGAGTATATTCATGGTCAGTTCTGCCCAAGCCACTGATAAAGTACCAGCAACTCGATGACAACCATCCTGATGGTTCACACTGTGTTGAAAAGAACACTTAGTGCAGTTTGCAGGGAGTCTGAAGGGCACACTAGACAGACACCTCCTCTGCAAGCAGAATAAGCACAAATCAGGCCAGGCTAGGCCCTAAGTGACCTGGGCCAACCTCCCTGCTGGCCCTGCTGCAAGACGTGAGCCAGAGGCTGGACTGTAGACCCCCTGCAGTCCCTTCCAAGTTCTCCTGCATTCCTCTAAGAACATTCCTCACTGGAACAGCCCAGTGCCTCTGCTTCCCTCCACATGAGCTTGCACACTGTATAGTGCTCTTCCTTAGAGTCAGGGGGGGTTCTTCCTGAAGAAGACAGTGCTTTACCAAGTCAGATCCTCACCCGGCGTCAGCTGCCAACAGCTACAGCCTACCCTGTGGAACTAGGCTGGCTTACACTAGGGAAAAGGCAGCAAAGTCCAGCTCTTGCTGTGGATATGCTGCCCCAGGAGCAGGCCTGAGCTAAGCTAGCAGCAACAGCTTCTGTGAGAAGATGTCACCTCGTGTGGAAAGCAGCCAACATCTTGACACTGTTTTTAGTGAGCTTAGTGCAATAAAATGAAGCTGCTTTTAAGAATGATGGCAGGGTTGGTGCCCATTAGAAATGTTCATTAGTTATCCACACAATTTGTAAAGTCAATTTAATTAAGCCACTCTACGTAGGTGGTTTCACAAGCAAGAGCAGAGCTCCAACACTGCACGCTAAGCAGTGTGTTCTGCATCCCTGACTGCAGGTGTGTTCCTCAAAGAATAAAGCAGTCACTTACTTCAGAGGCCAATTTCCGAGGTGTCAAGCAGAAGGTAACTTCTCATGAAGCAGCTTCACATAAAACCAGAGGGAAGACTCATGCCTTTACTAAGATGAATGAGGTGGAGAAGAGACATTACCTGATTGGGCTGAATTTTCGGCACATGTGCTTTCCACATTTGAGCTTCCCTAGAGATTGCCGTCTCCAGAAGGAGAGACAACCTCTGGCTCTCCAGGGGTCCTGAAAACTTCATGGTAACCCTTGGATCCACCTGCCACCCAGCTGGATACAGCTACCTGCAAAACCAAAGACAGCCTGGTGAAATCCTGAGCCATGCCTCTCGTGTAAACTGAGCAACAGAAAGCACAAAGGGGAGTAGAGCTGCAGGAACGGCACAGGCTGGTCTGTGACTCCAAACCCACCCAAGGAAACAAAACCCCTGGGCTCAGAATCAGGTGGACCTGGGCCAAAATTGTCCACAGGTCTCCCCACACGGGCTGGAAAATCCTGCCACTCAGAGGCTTTAAGCACTTGGGCACAACCCATCCCACTTCGGCAGCACAAAAACGTAGGGATGTTTCATGAAAAATATTTGAAAGAGGGAGGAGCTGCATGGTAAAGATCACGGGGATTTCAGAAAGTTGGATGTCCTGGCCTGAATCTTGCCAAAATTAAAACCAGTCTACCCCTGACTTCAAGGGAAGTGAAAGATTGACATCCAACCATTTTTCAAAACCCCCAGCCGTGGAGGCTGGTTGGTGCCAGCCTAACCCCGGGACTCTCAGCAGCAACAGGAAGTTCTGTGCAAAACAGAAACACTTGTTTGAGAATTTAAATTATTTACAAGGTGGAGCCTGACAAAAAGATCAATGTTTGCCCTCTCTGCACAGTGTGGTTTGTAGCTTCTCACAGAAGCTGCAACCTGTTTCATGTGCAATGCAAAGGTACCAGGGAGCTCAGGAAGGTTCCTTTCAGGTCTAATCATCCTGCAAGTATGTTAGATCCACAAAACTGCACATCTCTAATGCCCCATCCCTGGGGATGTTGAAGGCCAGGCTGGACAGCACTTTGAGCAGCCTGGTCTTAGTGAGAAGTGTCCCTGCCCATGAAGGGGGGTTGGAACTAGATGATCTTGAAGGTCCCTTCCAACCCAACCCATTCTGTGATTCTATGAAACGCGTTTTTAAGGAGGAAAAAGCAGCAAACCTAGTGACAGCCTCTGCAAACCATGAAATGCTGGGTAAGTGATGGAGAACAAGCCCTGCACTATTCAGAAACACCTGCTTCCATTGGCAGAAGTGAAACTATAAGAGGAAATGGAAAGCAAAACACCTTGCTAGACACAAAACAGATAAAAGAAGGGGTCTCCTGGCCCCAGCACAGCCTCAATCAGCAGGAGGTCTAATCATCCTGCAAGTATGTTAGATCCACAAAACTGCACATCTCTAATGCCCCATCCCTGGGGATGTTGAAGGCCAGGCTGGACAGCACTTTGAGCAGCCTGGTCTTAGTGAGAAGTGTCCCTGCCCATGAAGGGGGGTTGGAACTAGATGATCTTGAAGGTCCCTTCCAACCCAACCCATTCTGTGATTCTATGAAACGCGTTTTTAAGGAGGAAAAAGCAGCAAACCTAGTGACAGCCTCTGCAAACCATGAAATGCTGGGTAAGTGATGGAGAACAAGCCCTGCACTATTCAGAAACACCTGCTTCCATTGGCAGAAGTGAAACTATAAGAGGAAATGGAAAGCAAAACACCTTGCTAGACACAAAACAGATAAAAGAAGGGGTCTCCT